TTGTTTGTAATGACTTATTTTGATTAAAATAAAAACTCACTTCTGCTGCTATCTGTTCATGAACCTCTGGACTGAGGGACCGCCGCCTCTTCTGTTGAAAACCACCTTCACTGCATTGGTCAACCAGGGAATGGAGAGAATTTCTGTAAAGGAATAAGAAAGTGTATGAATAATAATAATAATAATAATATTAGTAATAATCATAATAAATCCAAAACAAAAAAACAGCAACTACCTGATCTTCTGTATGTCCTGCTGGAATTGCTGGATGCTCCCCCTGATGTGGACTGAATCGATGTCCTTCACGGCAAACAGCAAACACGGGAAACAGTAAAAGGCATGACTTACATCACAACCTGCCAGCCAGCTCCGTTTGTCATAACAAGTGCTGGAAAAGCCCCGAGTGTGCGCGCGTCCACGATCACTTGACTGCTGTTGAATTTGCAAGGAAGGTCGATCTGGTCCAAGCTCCTTGATTCTTTTTTTTTTCTTCATCCAAACGCCTTGTGAAAGGATATCTTTGCAAATATACAACGGAATTTTCCTTCATTTCGAGAAATTGCACTTGCTTCCACTATTATTAATTGTCGTCAGTTAACTGAGGAGCTGCTTGCTAAGTGAAAGGTCCAAGTGGGAATGGTCCAATCACATAAGGCCAACCATATAAAAACAAATATGATTCGTTCTGACAACATAAATGGGCGGGTTCGGGGCGCAGAGTGCTGCGCCCCAAGGACAATTTAAAACGGGCCAATTAGAGCTTTTTGTCATATCACATGTATTGCAAAAGTTCGTGTATCTACATAGACACTCATTAGTCCGGCGCCCCGCACACATATGAAAAAATATTGTTCATACATTTTTTTTTATTTTCAATAAATGTTAGTATGACTAACTGTAGAGTGTTATCATTAAATCAATTTATTTTGTTAATATTTGTGATAATAAATATTAACATATTAAAGTAGGCTAACTTGAAGGGGGGCGGCGCCCCAGCGCCCCCTATTGACCAGCCGCCACTGATGGAGACGCATCGCCGGACACATTCAGATGAGCGCCGCTTCCTGTCATGTGATCAGCTCTGTGGCATTGTGAGTACTGCAGTTCACGCGGCGTGAGCTCTCCATCTGATGCGCTTCAGTCCTCACGGAGCGTTCTCTGACGGCACAGACGACTGTAAACACACAGATGGGCTGCCGGACGCCTCCAGAAGAGTTCTGCCCTGCTCAGAAGATTCCCTTGGCGATCTTTAGGCCTTTCTGCTTCATGCGAGGCAGAGTGGAGCTGGCCACGTGTTTGGTGCGGCCCGATCTGGGGAAACCTCGCTTCTTCAAGACGAAATCATAGTTGGCTGTAGAGTTCATGGCGTAGAAAACATTGGCGTTGTCGGGAATCTTCAGCTCTGCGTAGACAGACAATAATAACAGGATGCACATCAGAATCAGGACACAACAATGAAGGCAAACATCAGCAAATGGGTTAATACACTTTCTTGTTGCGATTAATTGCTGACACATTTGATACAATATTATCACGATATTGATTTAAGCTGCAAAAAATCATATTTTAACAGGGATCATACCATTCATTGCTTTATAATAAATATCTAACAATAATTAGATAATGCATAAAAATAGACACACATAAGCCCCTTTCACACAGTGATACCGGTAAATATCTGGAAAATTTCCGGAACGACTTTACCGGTATATTCAAAAAAGCGCTGTTCACACAGGCGAGGACGTTACGGAAATTTTCCGGAAAAGAGCATTCACACATCCATTCCAAAATACCGGTAAATTCTGACATCATTCACCACAAATGAGCTTTAAACGGCTGCGCTTGTGTTTGTAAACATTTGACTAAATTACAAACTCTGTGGATGATCAATATTGTGAACAACTTTCGCAGGATCACTTTCGCATGTCGAGATGTTCATAATATGTGCGTGTGCAGGCGCTCACAGGCTGAAGCTTGAAGGTAAACAAACAACGGCTTATCATAAGCATCTCATCGATGATTATTTACACAGTTGGCATTAAGAAGAACATATAAACGTGATCTGACTAACTTCTAGCAGCTAAATGTGTCTGGAAAAATATTCAAAGGTTTTTATTCTCACAAATCACGTGGACGTAAATGCGTCTGACTGTTGTGATTGGCTAAAGCTGACATCTCACGTCAGCACGTTCTAGACGTGCACGCGCTTATTACGGGAATCTTCCTTCTGCATTCACACAGCGCAGCATTCCGGCAAATTGCCGGTAATGTTACAACTTCTCTTTCCGGAAAATAGCCAGAACGAATTTACCGGTATTTTCAAAAAGGGCCTGTTCACACATACAACCTTTGCCGGCAATTTTCCGGAAAGGTCTCTATGTGTGAAAGGGGCTATAGACATCGCCTGTATAACTGCAGGATAACTATGGTTATATATAAATTAATCAACTTTAACTGTTAAAAGCTATTAGTTACTGGTTAATTAAAGATGAGAGTAGCTAATAAAGGTATGGGTATGATATAGATTGTAATGCAGTAATGTGCACTCTCTGTAAAGCTGCTCTGAAACAACACTTATAGTGAAGGTGCTGTACAAACACACAAACTACAATCAACAGTGAGAAATAACCACATCTCTCACAGTTACCGGAGCTCAACAATTAGGACTGCCCGATAGCCCGAGGCTAGTGTGCGAGACGCTCGGGACAGTACACAGGATGGTTAGTGGTCCGATTGGGCCAGTGCTGCCTCATCACTAAAGTGTAATTTGGCTGCGACTGTTTGTCAATTGCGTACAAATACAGTCTAAGAGTGCTTTCACATCTAGCCATTTGTTTGGGAACCTGTCTCGCTTGCCCAGTTAGCACGGTTCGTTTGGCATATGTGAATCCCGCAATTGCGCTCAGATCCGTGGCAAATCAATCAGTTCCAGATCGCCTGAATGAGGAGATCTCGGCTCAATTTAAACTAACTCTGGAGTGGATCGATTGTAGTGAGAAAGCAAAACAATCCAATGAACCAGGCTATATCACAGTGCATGATGGTTGTGTAACAGCCACATATACGGCTATATAAAGAGAGGATGAGGAGTAGGGCGGGATGTCATCATTCCCAGCAGTGTGTGTTTCATGTTGAATATGACAGTGAAAGCATGCTGAATTATTATTGAGAGCTGTTCATCTGTTAGGAGAATTGACCAAAACTACCCTCTGATCATCTCTCCATAATTTAATCTTATGATATTTTGCATTAGGCCTATTGATGTGTTCATTTCTACACTGACACCTCGACAGAAAGATTAACACTGATCTGCTTCATGATCTGACTGCAGTCTCGCTTCATCTGTTATTTCTTTCTATAATTTAGGCCTATAATGTATAATTCTAGCCATAGTTTCTATTTTTAGATTGATTAATTCTATAGATAGTCTCATTTCAAGTTTTGTAAAACTCTATGAGAAAGCCTGACCTCTCTGATTTGGTGACGATGTCTGTGGGAGCCAAAAAAAGTGCACATATTCACTTATTATATATATAAATATATATTTATTTTTTTATTTAGTTTAACCACAATTGTAATTTTCTTAATTGTCAGCTATATTTAAAGAAAAGTTATGCTGAATATAAAGTGTATGTATACTTGGGATGCTCAAAATAATCAATTAACCGTTAACTGAAAGGGTGCGTTTGTAACTGATTAAGGGTTTCGGTTAAACCAGTGGTTCTTAAACTGTCTCTCCAAGTACCACCATAATGACTGGTGAAATACAGTAGCGTAGTAGACCTAATTCAGCAGCTACAGCTTTGCACAGTTCAAAAACGTGGCAGATTAATTCTGATCACATATTTAAATTATAAATTAGATCTGCTTACTGCACCTTAAAGTAGACTTTGTGTGTCAGAAAAGCAAGTGATTAAACTTTGCCTGTCAACATTGAGATATGAAAATACGGAATACGCCCCAACAACCGTTACAAATAAGAGGAGGAGGTTAGCTTCAAATAATCGAATACATAACAAACATAAAAAATAAAATAAAAGGTTTAGCCTATTAAAATCAATTTACTGATCACATTGGTGTTATCGTACGCACAAAGGTTTAAAGTGTGTTCATTTTTTTACCTTTAATTATTTAGCGATTCCTCCACGTACCACTAGAATGCCTAACCTCTAAATGTCAAACTGCAGCACATGTTTGTTAACTCGCGGGACGATAATGTATGACCACACGTGCCCACAGACATACTGGCTAAAGGAGCAAAATGAAAGAAGAATACTGCTGTTTGATTGCGCACTTGAACCACGAGTGAGAGAGGAAAAGCAGCACAGAAGCATAAAACCAGACGCTCAAGACATGATCAAAATGATGAAAGTGTTAAAGGGTTTGTGATATAAGAATAACAGCGGGGCAGTAATTAAACGCATATTTTCCGTGGAGTAAGCGATTTGAGGTAGACTGCTATATTTACTTGACGGAACACAAAAACATATGATTGGGAAATAAACAGCCTGTGCCGATTCTTAAAGAGGATCAGTCAGTGTTTTTGTTTCCTAATCTAAATTAGTCATTTAAGTGAAAGACGTTTAGGGCAGGCCTATTCATTTTATTATTTTTCTTTAGTTTATTCTGTTCTTCTATGCTGTTGGAAACACTGCAGGTGAAGATGCTCTGTTATGTCCTGTTAATAATATGCTAGCATGGTCAAATAAATCAGTATTTTCTGTAAATCAGTCAGACACAAAATAGACACAAAACTTTTTTTTTTAAAATTAAATAATAATTTAATATTAATCTGACCAATTAACTGTTAATATCCTATTAAAAAGCGGCAGTTGTTGATTAGCAAAATTAACCGAAATGAGCATCCCTAACATACAGTTATGTATATGGCTTTTGACACATTATTTAACATATGTGGCTAAGAAATAGCTACTAATTTTTCTTTTTAGGATGGGGCAAGTGTAAATTTTGGCAGGGCATGTCTGAATTTTAAAAAATCCTTAGCATTGAACCCTCGTTATTTTGTTAAATTTAGTAAAATAAAACAATTAAATTGTTAGTTATTAACTCTTTACTTTAATAAAACTCTTATTTAGAATTAATAAACGATTACCTGCTCAGAGCAGTGTTTTGTGTGTAATGTTGTTGTTTAGTGTCCAGTAGCTGTGTAATAATCAGGATAAAGCACATCCAGTCGGGTGAAATAAAGCCTTCTACAGCAGTGCTGCGCTTCACATCTGCTGCTGATGAACCTGTCAGGCTTTATTCTGAGAGAACACCCTGCTGGATCCCTACATACTGAACACCCGAGTATCAGCACACGTCCCCTCAGCACAGCCCTGCTCATGTGTGTCGTCTGGTGTGTAGTGTTCTGTCAGACTGACCCTTCTCCTCACTGATTTTCTGGACCAGCTCATAATCCTCGGCTCGCTCGCGGTCCAGGTTGTGTTTGACCATGGCTTTCCTCACCACGGCAGGAGTTTTATCCTGACTGGTCACCTGAAAAACAAACAAACAAACAAACACACACACACACACACACACACACACACACACACACACACACACAGATGAGCATCTCCTCTGAGCAGCACATGGACAAAAACATTGTGATTTTTATTTACATATCCAATATTAAGTATAATCCCACTATATGGATCCTCTAGATATATTGATGATTGATATATTAGGGATTGATACATTGATAATTGATTGATATATCGATGATTGATTGATATATTGATGATTGATTGATATATTTATTGATTAATGTGTCATGTTCTGACCAGAATGCTCTTGACATATTGATGATTAATTTATATATTGATGATTGACTGATATATTGATTAAATCTGACCAGGATGCTCTTGACATTTTGGTAATTGATATATTGGTTATTGATTGAATCTGACCAGGATGCTCTTGTTATACTAATGACTGATTTATATATTGATGATTGATTGATATATTGATTAATGTGATGTGTTCTGTCGGGATGCTCCTGATATATCGATGTGTGGACTGACCAGAATGCCTTTGAAATATTGATTGATATATTGATGACTGACTGATAGATTGATTGACTGATTGAGTGTAGACTCTGACCAGGATGGTCTTGACATATTGATGATTGATTGGTTGGTTGGTTGATGGAAAGACTCTGACTAGGATGCTCTAGAGATCTACTGATTGAAATATTGATGATTAATTGATATATTGGTTGACGATTGAAGTGTAGACCCTGACCAGGATGGTCTTGATATATTGATTGATATATTAATAATTGATTGATATTTTGATTAGTTAATTGATCTGTAGACTCTGACCAGGATGCTCTTGTACATGTTGCCGTTGTCCACGTCCAGGCTGACCCTGATGATGCAGCAGTCGTCCACCTGCTGGTTGTACAGCGGCAGCGACAGAGACGAGTAGCTGGACACACCGGACGCCGAGCGCTTGTGTGAGCGTGACACACTGACCGGCGTGGAGGAAACCGAGGACGAGGAGGCGCTGCTGGAGCCCGAACCCGAGCCTAGAGCCGAGGCATCCAGTGACGACAGAGACGTGGACTCCCAGAACTGCAGAACACACACACACACACACACACACACACACACACACACACAATGAAGATGCAGATCCAGCAGGGCATCACTGAGGATGAGGAGGATTAGAGAGGAGACAACACACATCTGAGTGAGGTAAACAACAGCACTGAACACAAACACACACAAACACACATCTGAGTGAGGTCCATAACAGCACTGAACACACACACACACACACTCACAAACACACATCTGAGTAAGGTCCACAACAGCACTGAACACACACACTCACAAACACACATCTGAGTGAGGTGCACAACAGCACTGAACACACACACACACACACTCACAAACACACATCTGAGTGAGGTGCACAACAGCGCACTGCAAAAACACTTTCTTACTCAGAGTTTTTGTCTTAGTCCAAATATCTGACAATTCTTAAATCAAGAATCATTTTCTAGTCAAGCAAATACTGAGTCAAAATGAAGAGAGTTTTACCTCAAAACAAGCTAAATAATGTTACTTTAAAGGGAAAATTAGATTATTTTGTTCAGATTATTTAGCTTGTTTTAAGGAAAAACTCTTCATTTTGATGACTTATTTCTGAAAACAACACAATGTTAGGGCTGCACATTATTGCAATAATCTGACATTGTGATATTTTATATTTCTGTGATATATATTGGTGGTTTACTGTATCTATAATCTCACTGATTGAATAGCACTATTTGGAAAGACTTTATAGTCACACTTTATTTTAATGTTCAGTTCTCGCTATTAACAAACCATTAACCATGACTTCTGCTCAATAAACTCCACATTTGCTCCTTATTTATAGATATTAGGGTGGTTTAGGTATTGGGTTAGGGATGCAGAATAAGATCATGCAGAATAATGAGCACTAATAAGCAGCCAATATCTCAATAATGTGCATGATTTAATAGTGAGCATTGGTCCTGAGAGTGTTATCAGATGCATTCATTAGATTGATCGGGATGATTCTGTAGGGGAGTAGATCATGCAAAACATGTAATAAACAAACTACAAGCGTAGATGAATACCATAAAGCAAAGCTGAAAGTGAAATAGGCTGTGCATCCTTTGTGCTTTCATATATATAAATGTAAAGATTACATGGAAAAGGCTTTATTGTAAAAATAATGCAATAAAATGATCCTTTATTAAACTTCCGATTGGGAGAGAATCTTGTGCTTGAATACTTTAATCTCTCACAGGCCTCAAAAACATTTTAAAAACTTTAAAATCTCACAAATCTTGTGAACTGAACTGTGACGTTTGCCCAAATATAATCCTATAATATCTAAGCGATATGATCTTCATATATTGTGCTGCCCTACACCGTGTTCTGCTGGTCCAGAAAATGCTTCTTGATTTAATTTGTTTGATATTTGGACTAGAAACAGGAGAAAAAAGTAAGAAAAGCAGTTTTGCAGTGCGCTGCTGACCACACACACACACACACACACACACACACACCTGGAGTCCCGACTGTCTACAGCAGACACACTTACAGTACGCATCTACAGTCTCATTAAGGTTAGTAATAATGTGTTTAAGATAACCGCATCTCTGATCGTGCACAGTGTTGCCAGATTGAGTGTTTTGAATTTAATCGGTAAAAATGTGCATTGGTGGGTTGACAATATTTGGGTGTTTTGGAAACGTAACTTTTATATACAACAACTATGTGCAACTATATTCTACAACACATCACTGTGTGCTCCTCCATTCAGCTAGTAGTGACCAGTGCATAGCACACACCGCGCATCACGCAGCGCCTGCAGGTAAACTCAGCGCTTTATCATGACTCTTGTTGGGTAATTTTGGTTAAATAATAAAATATTAATCTACTATTTTGGGCAGTTTGCGGGATTTGGACAGCTTTTGCGCTGGAAAAAGTCTATATCTGTCTATATCTATATCTGGCCACACTGATCATGCACCAGTGTTTCCCACAAGGCCGTTCAGCATCATACTGTAACGCTGCACTCTCTAGACACAACACACACACGCACACACACACACACACACACACACACACTACTGAATCAGTCAATCGATTTCACAAACAGGTTAGAGGTTTATTGCACCTCCTATATGAATGCTGCAATATCCAACCTTAAACACAAGCCCATACACTACTGCACTATATAAAGCCATGTAGGAAACACCTACACATACTAAATGACATTATTTGTCTTGTTTTAATGAATAATTCACTTCAGTTTGACTCATTATTTCTGAAAGCAAGTCGATGTGTGTTGCTGGTCTAGAAAATGCTGCTTGATTTAAGAGCTTTGAGATATTTAGACCAAAAACAAGATAAAGACTTGCACTCAGTGCTGGATTCTTCAGTCGGGAGTCCTGACACACTCCAGAGAGAAAACTAAACATTTACACACACACACAAACACACACACACACAGCAGAGACGCAGACACGATGAGCACCAGCGATGATGAGGTCAGCCACAATGGAGGAGAGAGATGAGTGTTTTCCAGACATGAACAAGCGGAGTGCAGGATCAGAGAGAGAGATGGAGAGATTAAAACAGAGAGAGCGAGAGAGTACCGTGGGTATCAGGTCTCCTGAAGGGCCGCACTTCCCTAAGGTAGAATTGGAATGTTTTACGAAGGGCGTGGAGGTCTGAGGGAAGGAAGTAAAGCTAGAGTCACTAACACACACTCACACACTCACACACACACACTTTATCAGTCCTGTGTGGAGGAGCACAACAGCGGAATCTCACACCCGGCTGGAGCAAACACTGAAAGAGCT